TGGCAGAGGGCTGGCTGGCAGCGGGTGGCTGGCTCATTCCGAGCCAGGCTGGGTGCTGGTTGGCTTTCACCTGGCACGGGCACTGTAGCCAGACCGTGGCCCTTTTAGGGCTCCAAGGCCGGGAGGAGGGCAGAAGAGTTTCCCTGGTTTGGCCCAGAGTGGCCACCAGGACAAGCTGGGAAGGGCTATCCTCCAACTAGTTCAAATTAAGTGGCTATACAGACCTTAATTCATGTTACTGAATTAGAACTAGGCATTAGTCCTCGGGGTATGTCTACACTAGCCCCCGAATTAAGCACTCCACTAGTTTGAATTAAGTTCGAACTAGCGGTTTGCTAGTGTAGCACCTATCAAAGTTAATTCGAACTAACGTCTGTTAGTTCAAATTAACTTTGTAGTGTAGACATACCCTAAGGACTTAGTTCAGATTAACTGTTACACCTCATTGCAGGAGGAATAACAGTCAATCCGAACTAAGGACTTAGTTTGGATTAACTTCTGACTGTCACATGTAGTCATAGGCAGTCAGTTCAAAGTAAGCCTGAGACTGGCTGCTGCTAACTGAAGGCAGTGGGGCAGAAAGCCTTTTGGCTTTCCCTAACAACTAAATATTTACTGTTTTGGTGTACACTAGGGCATAGCAAATTAAATCTCCTGCCAGTTGTCTCAACGTGCGCCCCATTGAATTGCTGCTGGAGTGTGACTCCACGGGCACGGTGGACACGCTGGGGTCTGGGTGGTTCTCAAAGATAGAAACATTTAGAATCTGAGATGTACAATTGGATATTCTTATATTGATGGAGATCATATCTATTTTAGGTGCCTTAAATTTCTCCCCATAATACTGTATATATAATTGGGATTATTTTTTCCAAAGTACATTACTTTACATCTATCAACATTAGATATCATTTGCCATTTTGTTGCCCAATCATTAGTTTGGTGAGATCTTTTTGAAGTTCTTCACAGTCTGCTTTGGTCTTACCTATCTTGTGCAGTCTGGTATCATCTGCACATTTTGCCACTTCACTGTTTACCCCTCTCTAGATCATCTATAAATACATTGAATAGGATGGGTCCCAAGACAGACCGTTGAGGGACCCCACTAGTTAACACTCTCCACTCTGAAAGCTTCCCATTTATTCCTATCCTTTGTTTCCTGTCTAAAAAAAAAATCAGTTACCCATCCACAAGAGGACCCTCTCTCTTATCCCCATGACACCTTACTTTACTTAAAAGCCTTTGATGAGGGACCTTGTCAAAAGCTTTCTGGAAATCTAAGTATATTATATCCACTGGATCCCCTTTTCCACATGTTTGTCTGACAATTTTATTCTTTACCATAGTTTCAACTAATTTGCTTGGTACTGACATCAGGCTTACCAGTCTATAATTGCTGGGATCACCTCTAGAGTCCTTTTAAAATATTGTCATGACCAAGGCTCGACAAACTATAGAATCTACTTACCCATGGTGAGTAGATTTCAGCCACGCACCCTGTTTACCGGCGGCACATGCATGCGAAATGCGGCTCTTGCATATGCGCAGTACGGGGCTGGCGAGCGACTTTCGCCACTGTTTGTGAAGCCCTGGACATGATGTTAGTAATCTTCCAGTCATTAGGTATGGAAGCCGGTTTAAAGGATAGGTTACAAAACAAAGTTAACAGTTCCACAATTTCCCAATTGAATTCTTTCAGAAGTCTTGAATGAAAGACATCTGGTCCCCATGACTTGTTACTGTTAAGTTTATCAATTTGTTCCAAAACCTCCTCTACTGACACCTCAATCTGGGACAATTCCTCAGATTTGTCACCTGAAAAGAATGGCCCAGGTTTGGGAATCTCCCTAACATCCTCAGCCATGAAGACCAAAGCAAAGAATTCATCTAGCTTTTCCGCAATGACCTTATCATCTTTGAATGCTCCTTTCGAGTCTCAATTGTCCAAGGGCCCCACTGGTTGTTAGCAGGCTTTCTGCTTCTGATATACTTAACAATATTTTACTATTACTTTTGAGGTTTTGGCTAGCTGTTCTTCAAACTCCTTTTTGGCTTTTCTTATTATATTTTTACACTTAATTTGATAAAGTTTATGGTTCTTTCTATTTTCCTCACTAGAATTTGATTTCCACTTTTTAAAAGATATCTTTTTATCTGTCACCGCTTCTTTTATCTGATTAAGCCAAGCCACCATGGCACTTTTTTGGTTCTCTTGCTGTGTTTTTTAATTTGGGGTATACATTTAAGTTGGGTTTCTATTACAGTGTCTTTGAAAAGTTTCCATGCAGTTTGCAGTGATTCTACTTTTGTCATCGTACCTTTTAATTTCTGTTTAACTAACTTCCTCATTTTTGGGTAGTTCCCCTTTCTGAAATTAAATGCCACAGTATTGGGCTGCTGAGGTGTTTTTCCCACCACAGAGAGGTTATATTTTATTACATTATGGTCTCTAATTCCAAGCGGTCCAGTTATATTTATTTCTTGAACCAGATCCTGCACTCCACTTAGGAATAAATCAAGAATAGCCTCTCCACTTGTGGGTTCCAGAACCAGCTGCTCCAAGAAGCAGTTATTTAAGGTATCAAGAAATTTTATCTCTGCATCCCATCCTGAGGTAAATATGGGAAAAGTTGAAATCCCCCACTATTATCGAGTTTTTAAATTTGATAGCCTCTCTAATCTCCCTTAACATTTCATAGTGACTATCATTGTCCTGATCAGGTGGTCAATAAGATATCCCTACTGCTATATTCTTATTATTGGAACATGGAATTACTATCCGTAGAGATTCAATGTAACATTTTGGCTCATTTAAAATTTTTACTTCATTTGATTCTACATTTTCTTTCATGTATGGTGCCACTCTCCCACCAGCACGATCTGTTCTGTCCTTCCGATATATTTTGTACGCTGGTATGACTGTGCCCCATTGATTGTCCTCATTTTACTAAGTTTCCATGATGCCTATTATATCAGTATCCTTTAAAACTAGGCACTCTAGTTTACCCATTTTACTATCTGGACTTCTAGCGTTGGTGTATAAGCACTTTAATAATTTGTCACTATTTATCAGTCTGCCATTTCATGATGTGTTAAGACTTTTTCATTTGATTGTGTCTCATCTGTGGAGGCAGGAAAAGGGAATTTGTGTGCAGCCATCATGGTCTTGTTAACAAGAGAGCAAGAGTCAGGCTAAGTCTGTGGCCTGACAATGCGAGATCTGTAATTAGACGCTGCCTTTGCCTCTCCCTCCAGATAAGGATAGAATGCTGACTCTGGCAGGGACCTTGAGATAAGGAGCATCTGGGTGGAACTAAATAACTGTTAGCCATTGATGTTTGTAATGGGAAGGAGACTAATTGTTGTTATATCTAATAGACAATATATAAACTGCTTCATAATTGCTTGTATTTGAAAATCTGCCTGGGGGGGGGGGGGGGGGGGGGCGGGCCGGCCCCCCCTGTCTGAACCATTTTTTCCCCTTGCTGCAGCTCATAATAAAACTGCCTCTGGCTACTTGTTGCTTACAACCTCAGAGTGAGGACAATGTTTTCTTCCATACATCTGATCTGACCCATACTTCCTTTCTCTCCTCCTGACTAGAACTTAGAGCATATCTATTAATAGAGATGCCTCTAAAAGAGGTCTCCTCTTTTTAAATCCACATGCTCCTCTGCATCCATCGGCTTTCCCCCAGTCAATTTAAAAACTGCTGTACAACCTTTTTAATGTAAAGTAGCTAATTAAAAATGTTTCTTATGTAAGCAGGGTCAGGGTAAACTCTATCCTGACATCTAGTGGCGAACTGTGGCAAGTGGTGCAAAGAGACTTCAGGGGCTGAGCCCAATTTGCATAGACACACCCACCCTTTACACTTAATTAAGAAAACAAATGGATTATCAGAAAAGAAACAAATAGTAAGATTACTGTGAACATCAAAGTACCAGCTAGTAATGTATAAACTGGAAACTAAGGACTGCTGCTTCCAGCAAAAGGAATATCAGTCCATCTGCACAATGTTTTTCCTTGGTCAATAAAGCTGATTTTTGTCATGCCATTTGCAGTACAAACCATGCACAGATTTTTTAAACAGTCTAAGAATCCCATCTCTGTGTTAAAATCATTTAAACACTATTAATCTGGGGGAGGTCTAGGTTGGATATTAGGAAAAACTATTTCACTAGGAGGGTGGTGAAGCACTGAAATGGGTTACCTAGGGAGCTGGTGGAATCTCCATCCCTAGAGGTTTTTAAGTCTTGGTTTGACAAAGCCCTGGCTAGATAGAACCAATCCCAATTAAATCAATCTTGGGCAGGGGGCTGGGCCTGATGACCTCATGAGTTTCTTCCAGCTCTATGATTCTGTGAATCTAGCCAAGAAATCTATGGAGACATGTTTGAAACTATCAGTACCTGTTGCCAGCTGCCTAGTCTCACCCTCAACTCTTTGTTTCCTCTCACTAATAACTGAATCTGTAACTGATAGCACCTATAAGTGTTTTCAAATAGATTGGCACAAATGCCAAACTATAAGCAATTAACACAAAATTAAAAGAAAAAAAATCCTCTCTCCTGACAACTTCTGATGTGAACTCAAACTCACCTGATATGCTAGCCACATCTGACTTTGTGACCAGTTGAACAGGTGAGAAACTGATTCCCAGGCATTTCTTTCACATTCAGAGCAGTGTTACATTCTTCCTTTTGGAAAATTTCAACAGAGGTGCTTCAACATAAGTTTTCAATGGTGCTTTCAACATAAGAGGCTGCAGAACGTCTATCATTCAGGTACCTAACAAAGCTGAAGAGACGAACCAGCTTGCCCGAGTGGGGTTTCTCCCCCGGGGTTGGGGAACCCTTCTCCACCGGTCGTAAAAGCACTGTCGGCCCCAAAAGGGGCTCTCCAAGGCGGAGGGGGACCTGGGCCCTCCCCCTCTCCAGGTCCCAGCTCAGGACCCTAAGGGTAGGCGTCCGAGACGCGCTGCCCGAAGGGGAGGGGGCGGAAGAGTCATGGCCACAACTCGCTAGCCCCCAGGTCTCCCCGACCCTGTCCTGGGCTGCTTCCTCCGTCTCGGCCACTCCTTGCCCATCTTCCCCTGGGTCGGGGGGAGGGGAGCTCACCTCTCCTTGTTGTGCTGTTCCATTCCACTGTCGGCGCCTCCGACGCCCAGTCGGTCCGGGTCTCGGCCTGGCTGTGCTCCCGCTTCCAGCCGGAGTCCTCTTTTAAAGTTGGCACCCTTGCCAGGGACGCCTGCGCGCTGTGCTGTCGGCTCCCCCGCCCCCGGGCGGCTCGCTCGGGGGATGACTGCTCCTGCCCAGGCAGCCGCCGCCGC